CCAATTAAAAATATGATCAGAATTTCTTCTGAAGCTAGAAGTGTGGATTATAATGTTTATTTGGAAGAACAAACAAGCAAGAATAGCCAGGGAAACTGATGGAGAATAGAAATAAAGACGTCTTGTTGCACCACATATTTAAAGATGCTGTAATGCTTCTGTAATTAAAACAGTATTGGTGTTGGTGAAGGAGTAGACAGACCACTGGAAGAGAATAGAAAAATCCAAATGGACTAAAGTGCATACGGAAATTTGACATGCATATAAAGGCAGCATCTCAAATCAGCGGGGGAAAAGACGAGGTATTTAATAATGGGGTTAGGAGGGCTGGATAGTCAAATGCAAAAAATTAAAAGTGGACCTGTTCCTCACACCAGGATAAATTCTGAATAGATCAGAGATAGAAGAAAACACGGGTCAAGTACTTTATAACCTCAGACTGGGGAAAACCTTCCTAGTTATGACAAAATGCAAAAGCAATAAAGGAAAAAGATTGATAAATTTGATTACATAAATAAAAATATTTTAAAGGACTAAATGGACAAAAACACAAACAAAAAAGGAAACAAAAACCCCACAGAAATACCAAACCCACCAACCATTAACAAAGTAGAAAGATCAAAGACAAATTGGAAAAAATGTATACCCTATTCATAGGCAAAGATTTGATGTCCTTAACATCTAAAGAGCCTCAAAAAATTTTAGATGGAAAAGATCAAATTTGCTACAGAAAAATGAGCAAAAATATGAACTTTACAGAAAAAATATTAATAGCCTTTAATCATATATAAAGTTGCTTCTCTCTGCTCATAGTAAGTGAAATGCAAAATAAACTTACAGTACTGAGATACCATTTTTCACCTGTCAGATTACCAAAATTCCAAAAACTTGAGAACATACTCTGTTGGCAAACCTCTAGGGGGACTGCAGGCCTCATATATTATTGGTGAGAGTGTTATAAACCGCAGAAACACTATAACTCTCAAAATTATATCTGCCTGTTGACTCAACAATTCCAATTCTAAGAATCTCCTGAAAACATACTGACCAAAATACAGAAAAGTTCGTTCATGGGGTTATTTATTATGGCGCTACTCGTAACAGCACAAAACTGGAAACAATCCAAATATCCATCAATAGGGAACTAATCAAATAAAGTGCCTCCACACAAGGCTGTCTAGGGCAGTTAGAGGAAACGATGGGAAAGACCTCTATTGACTGTTTCAAAAATATCTTATCGAGTGCAAAAATCCGGGTGTAGAAATATGTGTGTAATATGTTACCATTCATCTCAGAAAAGGTCTGAAGGCACTGGTTTATCTTTTCATATGATATGGAAGGATAAACAAAAACTGAGATCTATGAGGGAGTGCAGAAACAAGGTTGGGAGGACTATAAACCTTAATTTATAGAATTGATTTTGAAACCACTTAAATATTTTACAAAACAGTATTAAACTAAAAAGAATAATCCTAAAAATTAAAGCAAAATGAGACAAATGAACCTGGGCATTGAGTTGGTGGCATAACCAGATGAAGAGGAATTATTTTAAGTTAGATTAAAACATGGTAATTTGATTGGACATCCCCAGTGGGGGTTATCCCAAGGACAAACAAGCAAACAAAACAAATACAAAGAGAAATCTTAAATTCCTTCAGTGATCATGTTGGCATTGTTATTCTGAGTGTTGTGTGTGTATTGTCTAATAAAGCCAATGAGGAATTATGTTGATGTCAATGAGGGTCACAGTTTTTGGCATGGGAGAAAAGACTTACAGATGGGTGACGGCTGAAATTAATGAAATCTTGTAGTCCTGAATTGGAATTGGAAATATCAATATCAACTCATGATATATTTTATCTGAAAAACACTATTTCCTAACTCTGGCCACTGAAAAGGCGCGGAAACAGTGACTTAGCCAGCAGCAGAGAACCCACCTGTCTCCCAGACTGTGGTCTCGGAATGTCACTAAACGACCCAGGGCTCTTTGAGAAATGGGTCATTCCAGGACTGGGGCAGTAAGCGTACAAGATAAATGTGAGTTTAGATCCACATTTCACGAAACTGAACAGGTCCCCTCTGGCACCAATGTACTTAGCTCTGCTGGAGGATCTAGGATGGGAAGGGCAGCCAGCCAGCAGGGCAGCGTCGGGTGTGAAGGAATGAGACCACGTGAGCGGGTCCAGTGATGCCAGGGTGCACTGCCCAGCCATCCTTGTTAAGACTGAGATCCTCATTCCTCCACTTGTCTGGAGTGTTGGCTGCACCCAGCTCACACCTGCATCTTTCTCTGGGAATTGCTTTCAGTAGCGGGGAGCTGCCCCGCTTAAACTGGGACAACTTCACTGGGCCATCCCGGCTACTGAGGAAGTCCTATTGGATGGGCTGAGGTTTACAGTTGCAACTACATTGTATTTCAGCTTTTCCTCTGCTCAGTGCTGTCTCTCTCACTCCCCAACTGCCCTCCCCAATATACTTCCTGTGCATAAATCTCTGTCTCATAGTCTGTTTCATGGGGAACTTGGCCTAAGTGGATGCGTGTGGGAGCCATTCTGGCTTACAAGCCCCATTCCCCATATGAGACAATATGTATTGTTTCCTCCCATGGGAATAGCTTCCAGAGGTCTTAGCAAGGGACATGCCCCATTGCAAGAATGCACTGCATGTGGAGCAGCTCGATGTGTGGATTCCCATTAGGTGTCTATAGTTAATTCACAGTCCTCCCAGGCCAGGTGTAGCTTACTAGTAAGAAGTCGTTTTGCCATAAGCAGTGTGCCTGGTAAAACAGATGACATTCACCTTTATTGGGTTTCCAGGGGAACACAGCTAGAAAGTTAACCCAAGGTCATTTTTCCAGAGAGAAAGAGAATGAGTTTGTTAACCCTTTGTTCACATTTAAAAACCTACAAGTTCATAAAGATAACTGCAGCAAAACAAAAATCTCAACGACTCTCATTTAGAAGATACTGGGAAACTAACTCACTCTTTTGAAACCTGGTAAATAAAGGGAAAGAAAAACTTATCTAGACTTTGTTATATGAACTGTGCCTCAGGATAATGAATGAGTTGATAAGCGGAATTTTCTCTTTATAGAAGTATCCTAGCTAATAAATGAAGAATGATGGAATTAAGATATCGTCCTTGCAACTCCTACTGAAAAGATGAATCTAGACAATATTGTCAGTGACTGCTAACAGCACAGGAGAGTGACAGCCAGACACTGCGTGTCCTGATGCAAGTGCAGAACACTGCCGATAAAGTGCTGGCAACGAGTTCTAACCCGAATCATATCAAACTTCTAGATCTAAGCGCCGATTGTTGGGGGCAGATGGTATCATGGTGAGGCAATTTGCAAAATGCAGATTGTGGAAAGCTGTACAGAACAAATGACCTGGTGTCTTCAACAAAGATGTTGCAAGGGACACACACACACACACACACACACACAGATATGAAGGGGGAAATGTATAAATTAAAAGGGACCTAAGAGACAAGAGGCACATTAACCAGCTATAATTTTGAACTTTATTAAAATCCTGATTTGAGTGAACTGTGAAAATATTTATTATTTATGGTTCAAGTGAGGGAATTTGAACACTGCTCAAAGACTAGATGATAGGAAGAAATGATTACCAATTTTGTAGCTTTGATAAATGCATTGTGGTTATGTTATTCCAAAGAGTCCTCAACTCTTAGAGTTGTAGACAGAAATATTTACAGATTAAGTGATAATATATCTGTCCCCCCCAATAATCTAGACCGTGGGGAAGTGGGAAAGGGATTGAATGAGACCACACTGGACATGAGCTGATAACTTCTGAGTCTGGACAATAGATTTGTGGGGCTTCACTATATTATTTCCTTTACCTTTCTGGGTTTGAAAGTTTCCATTATAACAAGTAGAAGCACATATGCATTTACTTTTTAATATAATAGTCTCACTCCTGGAAATCTATCCATAGATGTTATCCATGTAAGGATATTTAATGTAGCAAAACTAGCAAAAAGAAAAAAAATCCTAGAAATATATTGAATACCCAACAATGTTTGTGGTTGAATAAATTGTGATACCATTTAGTCATTAAAAAGAGTAATTTAGAGGCAAAGCGGTTTACCTGGAGTTTTCAGGAATATTGTTGAATGAGAAAAGCAAGACGCACACACGAATGTATGAGAGCTCGTTTTTTAACAAATAAAGACAAAAACCCAACATGTGTGTATTTGTATACGGGAGGGTGTCCCGTGAGGTGTTAACATGGGTTGCTGGGGGCCTCGGGGAGTGGGAAAGCGTTTTGGGTGGATTGTGGGGAGATAAGGCTGCTGAAAAACTCTCGTAAAAATAAAAGGCTGATGTGATGTGGCCTGTGTTCTGCTGGCGGGGGGGCAATACGGCAGGAGCAGGGGCTGTGGGGTCAGGCTGCATTCCAGCCCAGCTCTGCCACTTCCCAATGGTGTCGCAGTGGAGAGTTCAGCAGCATTGGTGGAGCACCTACCGTGTGCCTGGCCTGGCCTAGGAGTTTGAGATACAGAGGCAAAGATGCTGCTCCTGCCCCTTGGAAGCTGTATGCTAATAAGGAAAGGAGAAAGGTCAATGTGGGTCAGTGTTTGATGCACAGGATGCTGTGGGCATATTGCTTATCTTTTATGAACCTCAGTTTCCTCATCCGTGAGATGGGATTGCAGTGTCTGCTTCAAGGGCTGCCATGGGGGTTAAGAATGTGCAACACGAATGTAACCGCACCCTCTTGGGCCACACGCCTCTCCCTATAAGACCCAAACCAACATGCTGTTATTGTCCCCAGAGGTGGGAAGATGGGCAGTGAGAGTGAGTAAGGTGGGAGAGGGGTGTCAGTCAGGGAAAAAGTCTGAGAGCTGAAGCATAAAAGAGTAAGGGAGAATTTTGTGATGTGTTTGGAGAACACAGAAGAAAGGAGGGAAATTTGTTTATATATTCATTCATTTGAAAGCATTCACTTAACGCCTACTGTTTTATACTTCAGGGAACAAAATCGACCAAGATCTCTGCCCCCTCAGAGCTTATAATCTGGAAGGGGGAGATGGACAACGGACACTAAAATGAATAAATGTGTAAGTTACGTGAGACTTTAGAATTTCCATGGAAAAAAGGAAAAGCAGAGCAGAGTGTATTCGTTTGCTAGGGCTGTGTAACAAATCACACAATCAGGGCAGCAAACAGAAATTTATTGTCTCGCAGTTCTGGAGGCCAGAGGTCTGAGACTGAGGTGGCAGCAAGGCCGTGCCCCCGTGCAGGCTCTGGGGAAGGGTCTGCTCCAGGCCCCCTCCCGGCCTCTGGTGGTTCCTGGCTTGTGGCAGCAAACTCCAGTCTTCACAGGGCTTCTCCCTCTGTGCAGGTCTGAATCAGGGTCCGAGTTTTCCCTTTTTATGGGGACACCGCTCATATTGGATTAGGGGCCCACCCTAGTCTGGTGTGACCTCATCTTAACTAATTATATCGGCAAAGACCCCATTTCCGAATGAGGTTACATTTGGAGCTACTGGGGGATAGGACTTCAACATAGGAATTTACATAACAGGAAGGGAGATTGAAGCGCCCAAGCTTCAAGGGCGGGTGGGCTACAGCGTCAAACAGGGAAACTTGCTGAGAAGGAGACTTTAGAGAGGAGGCTTGAGGAGGTAGAGAGTGGGCCACATAGATATCCAGGGAAGAGAGTTCCAGGTAGAGGGGACAGCCAGTGCAAAGGCACTGCGGCAGGAGTGTGCTTGGGATTTTCCAGGAACAGCCAGCATGGCTGCAGCAGAGAGTGTGAGAGAGTGACCAGGATCATCTCTGGGTCAGATGGGATCAGGTCCAGATCAGGTGGCCCTGGAGGTCCATGAGGGCTTTGCTTTTACTCTGAGCATCCCGGGAAACGATTGCAGGTTCTGGGCCCAGTGGCTGCGTGGACAGCACACTGTGGATGGGCGGAGGAGTTAGGAGGCCATGGCTATGATCCAGGTGGGAGATGACTGAGATAGGAGAGAGGAGAGAATTGCTGGAACAATGTCCTGAGCAGAGAAGTGGGCATGGAATCTGGTGCACAGGTGGAGGGATTGGCTTTAGAAAACCATGACATGGGTACCTGGCCTCTGTAAATATGTATAATTTAAATACTTTCTGCTTATTGCCTATTTAAAGAATCTAGCAAAATACATGGTGGACAGAAGGCCCCCAATAAAGGTTAATTTCTTTCCTCTCCCTTCCATCCCTGAGTCTGGCCTGCCTCGCCCACCCCACAGTTCCCCGTTCCCAATCACTCATCTTAATCTCTACTGGCTCTTTAATCGTTAAGGAGTGTGAGCTGGTGTTGGCTTAGAGAAACGAGTTTTGAATGGTCCTCTGAGGAATCCTAGGTTTGGGAGGGAGGGCCTTGGGGCCCATGTGAGAGTGAAGGAAAAGCTCAGTGGAGAGACTCCCAGATACCCCTGCCCATCCCCCCAACCCTATGCTGTTCCCCACTCCATCCAGAAAAACTCCATATCTATGGTTTGTATATAGGGTCTCATTGAACAGCTGTATTTAAAAAAAAGATTTCTGCTTCTTAAAAACAATCCGCTGTCTTAAAGCAGCCCTCCTTCTGAGATATTTTAAAATCCTCCAACCCAAAGAAATAAATATCTAATGGCGGAAGTTTAGATCCCTGGTTCTGCTTTTTTTGCTACATATAGACTTTCTGACTTCACTGAATAATAATTATGATGACAATGATAACTAATCTGCATGGAGGGCTAAACTTGCCCTTGTTTAGGATCCTATCTTCGAAATTGTAAAGAATGAAGCTGTGCATAGTCAAGGGCACAGATTCATGAAGCTGTAGAATGTTAGAGCTTGGAGAGCTCTTAACAATATTCTAGTTTCAACCCTCTCATTTTATTAACAAATAACTGAGAGAAATGTTGACTTGGTCAAGGTCATCCAAGGACAGCTGGGTCTAGAATCCAAGCGACCTAGGTCCCGGCTCCCCAGTGCTCCCATTACATCCTGCTGGCAGTCAGGTGTCCTCAAACTAGGAGAGAAGTGCCATAGCACAGCTGTCGAAACAGAGGTAGACAGGGAGCGTGCAGCAATGACATTTGAAGTGACATTTACCATTCCTGGGAGTTCAGGTTTACCAGCTCCACACATTTAAGAGCCTTTTAAAGTCTCTAATTGCTCATTTATCAGATGTTACAAAAACAGCCTCCACAGATACAGACTGACAGGCAAAGAGCTTGTTGAGGATTTATTTAAAATGATAAACTAGCATAATGCATCTTCTCTTGAGAGAATTATCAAAAGCACGGGATCGTACCATAGTTTGTAGCAATATTTCTGCTGCAGTCCTTATTGGCTGTGGCCTCCTAATTTTCTTGGGCAATATTTTATTTCTTCCTCTGTGAACTGCTGCCCTGGGAGTACACCGTGCAGTTTCCATGGGGACATGTAGATCCGAGAAACCTGGGGAAGGGTCAAGAGAACAGTTGGGGTCGGCCAGGTCTGGGTGTGAATCCTGCCTGTGCGTCTGAGATCTGTCTCACCCTGGGTAAGCACTTTCGCTCGCTATGCCTCAATTTCCTCTTCAGTAATATGGGAATTATAGTAATATCTGCCTCGTAGGATGGTTGTGGGAATTCACTGAGTGAAGGCCATAGAGCATCTTGTGCATTGCCTGGCTTGTGGCAGGTGCTAAACAGTAGCAAACCACTCTAGGGGGAGCCAGAATAGAGCCGTGCCTGCACTCCAAGTGTGGTCCTTGGACCAGCAGCATCAACACGCTCCAATTTGAGGGTCCACGGGTGTGGCCTTTTGAGCTGACCGGGTTGGGTCACTAATTAGCTCTGTAGCTTTGGAGGGATCACTTAATTTCTCAAAGTTGCTGTTTGTTCCTGTGTGAAATGGGAAGGATGATGACAAGCGTACCTACTTTATGGGTCGTTTCTACACCTCAGTGAGATGCTGCAGAGTCTCTCACACTGCCTGGTGTGTGAGGAATCCCTGCTATGGTTTTCCAGAGGCTGACATCCAAAAGCAGCAAGCCTGTGGTAAGGAAAACAGATTAAAGTGACATTTTGGGATAAGGAAAGATATTTTTCTGTGCCTGGCCCAAAGCAAAGTATCAGATGGATCTTTGGTTTCCAACCCACCACCTGTTCAATCTTATTAGGGACTAGGGCAGTTTGGAGGAGTTGGGAAAAGGTGGGGCGAGAAGATGCTGGCAGTTGGCTTGAGTGTCCCCCTAGTAAGAGACTCACGCTGGCAGGACTGGAAGGGACCTCAGGGGTCTTCTGCTCCAGCCCCTGTTGATGCAAGAATACTCCCCCACCATCCCTAACTCATGCTGCCTCAGTTTCTCCTTGTCCTCCTCGGGTGTTGCAGAGTGTTTTTCTTCCGTCTGAGGAAGCCCGCTGCAGTTCAGTAAGGAGCTCTCCAGCTGGTGGGAAGCTCCCAAGTTGAGTTCACTTGTGGTAAAGCTCAAGGAAACAGAGGCTCACGTGGGAACTGCTAGACAGAATGTCTGTGTCCCCCGAATTCGTATGTTGAAACCTAATCCCCAATGATGTAGCCTTTGGAGGTGGGGCCCTTGGGGGTTGATTAGGTCAAGAGGTGGAGCTCTCAGGAATGGGATCAGTCCCTTATGAAGGAGAGCAGGGAGCACCCAGAGAGCAGCCTCGTCCCTTCCACCATGTGAGGACACAGCAAAACGACGGCCGTCGATGAACCAGGAGTGGACCCTCACCAGACATGGATTCTGTGCCTTGATCTCGGACTTCCAGCCTCCAGAACTGTGAGAAAGAAAGTTTGTTGTTAAACCACTCGGTCAAGAGCAGCCGAAGCTGACTAAGACAGGAAACAGGTGCTTCGCAGTATTGCTTTCTTTTTATGAAATCATTGAGATTGATTATTATTCACTAACCAATTTTGGGGACATTTATACTCCCAAATGGTAAGCTACATTTCTTTGCTATGACATACTCTCATGTTTAATTTGCAATAAGAGGTTTCAAATTCCACAGGGAACTAAGTAGTCTCTTGATTGAATTAAGGAAACAACCTATTTACTCTGTATTAGCCCTGAGCTACACTCAGAACCTCAGGTTTTTCTTGTGCTGATTATGTGAAAGGGAGCATGAGCCTTATTACTCAGACCCCGTTCTATGACAGTCCCGAGTTTGCTTAACAATCGCTGGTCAATGTTATTTATGTGAAGATCTGAGTCCTTGCTGGTCCTACAAGACCCGTCTTTATTGAGTAGAAGGGGTTTGCTACTTGGGTTCCAGGTATGGACACTCCCTGCAGCAGCCCAATTTCCCCTCCACAGCTGGATTAATCATCCTGGGAAGAGAGGAATCTACCTCTTTGCCTGTTGGATCACTAGCATGCAGAGTCCAACATGACCAGGTCTTAATTTCGACTTCCAAGTCTTAGATCCCAAGTCTTTGCTGTCATTAATCTCTGAAATTCCAAATGGGACGCAGTATTGCTTTTGAATGAACTCTTCTGGTAGAGAGATGAAGTTCCCGGGGATTCCAATCGCATCCTTCTGCCATGATGTCACCAGTCTATAATTCAGGGAGTCAGTACGGGGCTTGTGCCAGTTGCTGAGTCTGTCTGCGCTTATTATACATTCAGGAAAGGGGGAGATGACCACAGGCCGAGCCTGTAGATCCACTGGACTACGGTGAGATGTTCTCGGGCCAAACTCTGTTATCACCCAACCTCTGTGAGCCTCAATATTAAGGCTGCCTCACAATGGTTGATGTATTAGCCTCAACTCCGAGCCAATATGCAGTAACGCTGAAAGTTCCACGTATTTTCCTCAATCCACAGTAACCCTAATAAATGCCCACAAGTCTTTCTGGGTAAGGCTTGTGGAAAGATTAACGCTATATACTTCTGGATGTGTTGCAGGGACCCTTCTCAAGAGGGCCCAGCCTGCCCTTCAAGAAGCTTTGGGCCTAGGATCTCGCAAGAGGCTCTAACTTTCTGTAAGGCCATTCATCAGGCTGCTTGCTGCCAGACCAAGAGTGTTTCCAGCTATATAGGTACAGTAATTCTTTAATAGGCTGTGGGCCTGTTTCATTCCTAGGGAGGCTGTGATCAATTAGCTATTGCCAAAAGTCCCATACAGTCAAAACATTCTGATAGCCACTTCCTCTCAGTTTCCCAGGATGGTGATGACACCAACCTTGCTTCTGGTGATTAAGTTCTACCACCTGGCCTCTGTTACTTCCACATCCCATTAATTCCGTTAAAATAATGAAGCCATTAAAATAGCAGTGGTATTGCACATTCTGTGTTAAATTTATTCCTAAAGTATGTTTGTTGACTGTATTATAACTGAAGTTTGTACATTTCATTTTCCAGTTGTTTGCTGTTGTACTTGATTTTTGTATATTGAACTTGTATGCTACGACCTTGCTAAATCCACTTATTAATCTTAATAATTTCATTGTAGATTTCTTAAGATGCTCTACACAATCATGTCATCTGTGCATAAGCATTTTAGTTCTTTTCATTTTTTGTGGTGATATATATATTCATTCCTTATGGCGCTAGCAAGGACTTTCCAGTACAAGGTTGAATAGCGATGGTGATGATGGACGTCCTTGCCTTGTTCCCAGTCTTGGGGGGAAAGTATTCAATGTTTTTACCATTGGGTGTGATGTTGACTGTAGTTTTTCGTATATTCCTTTTATAATTCCTTCTGTTCCTAGTTTTAAAATTATTAATGGATGTTATTTTGCCAAATAATTTTCTGCTTTTATTGAGACAATCAAATGGTATTTCTTCTTTATTTTCTTAATTCGCCGGTGAGACCATCTGTCTTTTGAGTTTTCTTTGCAGAAATTTTTTTCTTACAAATTCAACGTCTTTGAGTTTTCTTTGCAGAAATTTTTTTCTTACAAATTCAACAATAGTTATAAGGCAGGGCATTCATATTTTATCTTAACTCTTGTCAGTTTTGGTAGGTTGTGTTTTTAAAGAAACACCTATTTTTTCTAATTTATTGACTATATTGGTATAGAATTCATAATCTTCTCCCCCCCTCTTTTTTTTTAAAGATTGGCACCTGAGCTAATATCAGTTGCCAACCTTTTTTTCTCTCTCTCTTCTACTCCCCCAAGCCCCCCTAGTATGTATTTGTATATTATAGTTGTAGGTTCTTCTAGTTCTGACATGTGGCACGCTGCCTCAGCATGGCTTGATGAGCAGTGCTAGGTCTGTGTCCGTCCAGGAGCCAAACTGGCGAAACCCTGGGCTGCCAAATTGGAGCACACAAACTTAGCCACTTGGCCACGAGGCCGGCTCCCCACATAATGTTATTTTTTAATGTTTACAAGATCTGTAATCATATTCGTACTTCAATTTCTGATATTGGTAATTAGTTTTCTATTTTTTTTTCTTGTCAGCTTAATTAAGGGTTTTTCAATTTATTAATCTTTTCAAAAGCCAACTCATGGTTTTGTTGATTTTCTCCATTATTTGTTTTCTATTTTATTGATTTTGTTATGTCTTTCCTTCTACTTGATTTAGCTTAATTTTCTCATCCTTTTCCTACCTTCTTAATGTAGAAGCTTAGATTATTCATTTTAAAACTGTCTTCACTTCTAATTTGAGCATTTGAAGCTATAATCACTGATAACCTGATAATCACTCTTTAGCTGTATCAACACAAAAGTTGATATGTTGCATTTTTATTATTATTCAGTTTTTAATATTTCTAACTTTCTTTGCAATTTCTTCTTTGACCTAAGAGCTATAGAAATGTGTTGTTTAATTTATAATATTTAGGGTCATTCTAGATATATATTGTTAAGGATTCTAATTTAATTCTAATGTGGACAAGATCATACTCTGTAAGATTTCAATCTTTTGAAATATCTTAAGCCTTAAATGACCCAAAATATGTTATAAATGGAGAACATCTCATGTGCATTTGGAAAGAATCTGTATTCTTCACTTGTTCTATGAATGCTACTTAGTCCATGTACTTGATAGTATTCTTAGCATCTATATTTTTAGTGATTTTTTTGACTAGTTCTTCCATAAATTACTCAGAGAGGTGTGTTAAAAATCTCCAAATATGATTGTGGTTTTATCTATTTCTTTAGTTCTGTCAGATTTTGCTTTATGTATTTGGAAGCTTGGTTATTAGTCACATAAACTTATATGATGTTTATCAGTTCCTAATAAATTGGCTTTTTTATCATAATCAAGATAGCCTTCTTTATCTCTGTTAATAGACCTTTTAAAAAATACTATTCTGTCTTATGTTAATTAACCTCCATTTTTTTGTGTGTTCAGTGTTGGATGGAGTATTTTTTCCTTTACATTTAAAGTGCATCTTATGTCAACAGCATATAGCTGGGTCTTGCTTTTTTATTTAATCTGACAATATCAGACTTTTAATTGTAGTATTTAGTCCATTTATATTTAATGAAGTTATTGATATTAGATTTACTTATTACCATCTTATTATTTTCTGTTTGTCCCATCTCTTGCTTTGATCTGTTGTTCTCCCTCTGTTGTCTTTTTTTGGGTTAGTAAAATACATTTTAGTATTACACTTATGTTTCTTAATAATATTTTTTAACAGTGTAGTTTCATTTTACCCCCAGTCCTTTGTGCTATTCTTGTGATATATTACATTTGTATGTTACAAAGCCTGCAATTTTTTGTTGTTAGTGCCATTGGGTTGGTTCTGACTCCCAGCAACTCTGTATACAGCAGAGCAGAACCCTGCCCAGTCATTTTGTGCCATCCTTTCATCTTCCAGTACTGTATCAGACAATGCTGCACTGCTATTCATAAGATTTTCATGGCCAATTTTTAAAGAAATGGGTGGCCAGGTCTTTCTTCCAAGTCTATCTTAGTCTGGAGGCTCTCCTGAAACCTGTCCACCATGGGTGACCCTGCTAGTATTTGAAATACCATAGCTTTCAGCATCACAGCAATGTGAAGCTGCCGCAGTCTGACAACTGACAGAAATGTGGAGTGTTTCCCTGACTGGGAAATGAGCCCAGGCCATGGCTGTAAGAGAACCAAATCTAACCACTAGACCACAAAGCCTGCAATACAGGCTGTTATAATTTTTGTTTTAAATAGTTAAATGTCCTTTAAAGGAATTAAGATTCCTATAATATCTTGTATTTATACACATCTTTACCATTTCCAGTTTTCTTCAGTTGTTTGCATAGATTTGAATTTCTATCTGATGTCAGTTCCTTTTAGTCTGAAGAACTTTATTTAGCATTTCTTGAAGTATTATTCTCATGACAACAAATGTTCTCGGTCTTAGTTTATCTCAAAATGTCTTTATTCCCTTTTATTTTTTGAGGAATATTTTTGGCAGAATATAGAATTCTGAATTTTTTCTTTCAGCATTCTACAGATGTCATTTCTTTGTATTCTGATCTTTGTTGTTTCAGAACGAGCCATTATTCACATTTTTCTTTTTTATGTACTATGTTGTTTTCTCTGGCTGCTTTCAAGATTTTTACTTTATTTTTGGTCTCCAGCAGTTTAACCATGGCATGCCTAACTCTGATTTTCTTAGTGTTTATTTTGTTTGGGTTTCTCTGAGCTTCTTGGATCTATAAGTTGATGTTAAACAAATGTGGAGAAATTTGAGTCCTCATTACTTCAAATATCTTTTTCTTGCCCATTGTTTCTCTTCTCCCCTTCTGGAACTCCAGCTGCGTATACATTAGACTCCTTGATATTGTCCCACAGGTCACCATGGCCCTTTCGTTTTAAAAAAAAAATTCTCTGTTTTCCCTGCTTTTCACATTGGAAACTTGATACTGACCTGTTTTCAAGTTCAGTGACCCTTTCTTCCGCCATTCTCAATTTGCTGTTAAATCCATCAAGCAAATTTTCATGTCAGATATTATACTTCTCAGTTTTTGACTTTCTATTTGGTTCCTTTACATAGTTTCCATTTTTCTGCAGAGAATCCTCCTCTATTCATCCATTTTGATCGTGTTCTCCTTTAAGTGCTTGAAAATACTTATATCAGCTGCTTTAAAGTCCTTATGTGATAATTCCAATGTCGGTCATCTCAGAGTCAGTTGATATTGACTGGTTTTCTTTTGTTTTTTTGACAATGGCTCACATTTGCCTGTTTCCTCATATTGTCTATGGACATCATTGCTGAAATTCTGGATTCTCTTGTTTTCCTCTGTAGATTGTTGGCTTTTCCTTTAGGAAGCAGTTTTCTTTGTTGGATTCAAACTCCAAACCCTGTCTCTCCTATGGTGGGCAGCAGCTGGAATATATATTCGGTTCTTTCTGCCTTGCAGCTGTTGCTTTGCCGAGGCCCCTGGAGTTTTCTCCCAGGCACGTGTAATTCATGGGTCAACTGAGTATTTGAGTAGGCTTTACATGCAGACTGTTGGGCTTTATGTCTGTAGCTCCCGTGCTTTCCAGCCTTCCTGGCAGTCCTGAACTCCATCCTCTGTCCTCTGAGTCCTCAGGCTGCAGGACTGTGGCTGTTGCCTGACTTCCAGCCCCACTTAGTATGGATTGGGGAATGCCTGTTGGTGAAAATCTGCACAAATCAATATCCAGAGCTGGCCAATTTTATCAAGCTCCTCCAATTTCTGCCTGCTTTTGGTTGCTCTTTAATGCTTTCAAATAGGTTAATTTTCCCCCAAGTTTGTTTATTATCTGCAAGAGAGTTTATCTGATAGAAGTTACAGAGAAGCGCAATTTCCATATCTTAAACTTTTACTTTTAATTTTACCATAAAATATATGCTTGCACACCAATTCACCAAGTTTTTGACATAGGGCCATGGCATTTTATTTGAGCATGTATCTGTTTTTGAGTATGTATGCCCACAGTTTCCAATTTGGTTTTCTTCAAAAGTAGAGGAAGAGCTTAAAGACAGTTTTGAAGTACAAAGCCCATCTTAGTGGTCTTGGGCTCAACCTGAAAATTATACTCACCTGACTTCAACAGGCTGCAGTCAGCTTCAGCTTCAAAAGAAAGATAGAGGAGTGATGTCAGCAACATGGCGGAGTGAGCAGTTTTCTTTGTC